AACATCCAGAGGGCACCATCTAGCTCAGTGTGGAGAGCAGGGGCTCTCCATTGTTTCACGCTGGGTTCTCTCCCAGCCCTACCTTAAGATGTAGGGGATTGAACCTGGGAGCTTGGGCACGTAAGGCAGATTCTCTACCTCTGAGCTATGATCCTTCCCACAGGAAGGTGGCTGCAGGATGGATTAAATTCAGCCATCAGCAGCATCTAGTCCCTGAACCAGGCGCTTCCCAGGTGAGGTCAAACCTAATTAACCAGTTAAACATTGATATTTGTGTGACATGGTTTATGGCTTGCATTTTGATTGATGGGTCACAAGTTCTTCTGGCCTGTCTTCAGTACTTTAAAAAAAAAGTTTTTTATTTCATTAGCATGTCCAAATAGATTACAGGTTTTTTAAAAAAAAATATGTAAAAAGATCGTTATTTGAATACAAAAGAAAGCACACATAGCAGAAGATTGTACAGTGCTACCTCGGGTTACAGACGCTTCAGGTTACGAGATTTCGGGTTGCGCACCACACCAAACCTGGAAGTACCGGAACGGGTTACTTCTGGGTTTCGGCGCTTGCGCATGCGAACGCTGCAGGTTGCGAATGTGTCTCCCGCATGGATCATGTTCGCAACCCGAGGTTCTACTGTACAGAGGCTGCAATTAAAGGCCAGTCTTAGGAACAGCACAAATAAGACATTTTAAAGATAACCAGATACTTTTCCTTTATTGCATCCCCCCTCCCAAATATTCAAAGGCAGGATTGCTTCCTTTAAAGCGAGAGGTGGAACCATCTGATGTTGCTTGTTTAAGAAGAGGGGGGTGGAGAGCATTTAATTGTGGCATAATTTCCTTCTTTTATACTGAGACAAAGATTCTATGAGTCCACTTGACTTGGAGAAATAATCAGTCCACTTGATTATGGATTGGAACCAAACTGCAATAGAAGATAGGAAGAATGCTGAAAGCCATCCTTCTTGCATATATGTTGACTCAAGGCCCAAATCACATTTTAATCTCCTTGCGGGTATTTAATAAGACTTGAAGCGCCAAATAATATGCATGCCAGTCTTCTGTCAGAGTTGACTCTCCATGTAACAGATTATCCTAGGGATGGAGGCATATAGAACAGCTAAAGTCATCCTAAAAGTCTGCTCAGATGTAATTGTTTCCCTCTTTGTTCCAGCTCACAGCACTGATGAGTTAAACATGGCCTTACAAACTCATTTGTTCCATTAAAATATTGGTTTTTGGTAACAAAGGAATCTGGAGTTCCTAGCCTTTTTGGCTGAAGAGAACAATTTCAGATGTAATGATGGTGAAACTAGAGGACAGGATAGACTATGAAGCATCCAAGATGAAATTTACATTTTTTTAAAGTAATTTTTATTCATTTTTTAACAAGTACAACAAACACTACAAAGATATATTTACATGATATCATGTAAATATATCATTTTTTGTCCATCTTGTGAAGAGACTAGGCTTTTTCTTTTTAAAAAAAGCACCGCACATACTAAATTTTTCATCCTGTGCTAAGCCTCATTGAATGCTGTGGGTTTCCTCAAATGCTGTTTGACTTGTCTCACACTCAGACTTACTTTAGCTGAGGCAAATAAAGTAAACTGTGAGTGTTTTACAATATATTCATATTCATGACCTATTGGCAATAAATCCCATTGAGTACAATGACGCTTCCTCCCAGGTTAGTGGGTATAGGATTGTAGTTATAGGCCTGTCCGCCATCGTAGCACTTTTGAAAAAAACTTAAATTCATGGCATGTTGTTGAATCTGATCTTTAATCAATTTTCTAGCCGTAGCTGTAGAAAGCCACCACTGAGATTTCCTCCTGTCTAAGTCTTAAGCATCTGCGTGTATGGATTTCATCTTTTTGAAAATAATATTTGATCTCTGCATCGGAACACTAAGCAGCAAAATCAACATTTCAATGAGGTTCAGTAAAAGGAGAGTTTCCTTGAGGTGGAAATCTATTGATGACTTTTGGAGGTCAACAATGTATGCTGTTAGTCTCAACTTCTTTTCAGCATGAATGTTATTCACTCCATGGACTTTTCCCTGCCAGTCTTATGGGGTTAATTCCTGAGTTTTTAAGGAGTGTTGACTTTGAAAAAGAGACACAGAGGCCTGGTTTGCATGCCATGGTAAAGCAAACTATGGTTTCCTTCGATATCACAGAGATACTGTACATGGTCTGCCATGTAGAAATGCAGGAGACTGCTTCCTTGGGGAGGAACCTTTTAATTACTCAGATAATGAATTTGTTGCAGTACACTTAACAATTCTCTTGCAGCACAGTAGCACACTCCTTTGCACAGATTGGGAATTAACTGTGACAGCCGGCAGGATTTAGTGGAGGGGTAGGCAACCTAAGGCCCATGGGCTGGATGCGGCCCAATCGCCTTCTCAATCCGGCTCCTGGACAGTCCGGGAATCAGCGTGCTTTTACATGAGTAGAATGTGTCCTTTTATTTAAAATACATCTCTGGGTTATTTGTGGGGCCTGCCTGGTGTTTTTACATGAGTAGAATGTGTGCTTTTATTTAATATACATCTCTGGGTTATTTGTGGGACATAGGAATTCGTTCATATTTCCCCCCCCAAAATATAATCCGGCCCACCACATGGTCTGAGGAACGGTGGACCGCCTCATGGCTAAAAAAGGTTGCTGACCCCTGATTTATTGCTTAAAAGCTGGACTAGTATTGAGGAGACCTGGTTGATTGTAACAAAACCTCTAAGAGATTTTCAAGAAATATTTGCATTATCAATGAAAACAGTTCAAAACAAGAAATCAACAAAGGCTTAGATTCTCCCAGCTGGACTTTACCAGCTCTGATAGGTATATGGATGCAGCTTGAGAGTGGTTGCCCTCATAATCACAAGACTACAGTCCTTCCATCTATGGGCTATGCAGAAATTGTTCTAGATATACACGACAAAACAGTATGCTGATATCTTGAGTTGTTCACCCAGCAGCCCTTAAGTTGATCAGAACGGTTTTCATCTGCAGACAAATGGCAAATTTGAAATTGAAGTCTTGCAGTCTAGCATTTATTTAGCTAAATTTATTGCTTGATTGCTTTTAAAAAATGAAACAAAACCCTAAGTGGCTTTCAAGAAATATTAGAATTGCCAATAAAAACAGTTAAAAACAAATAAAAACCTTTTTAAAACAATTAAAATCAGCACTGAACAAAAACATATCAATATATGTGTGTCTGGACTGACTTGCCTAAACAGAAATGTTTTAAGCAGGCACCAAAATGTGCTTGACTGCAGAGTGAAAGTGTTGTGGCTACATGGAGGGTAGCAGGATGGGTTTCAACTCTCAATTTGGTCATGAAATTCATGGAGCCAGTCATTGATTCTCATCCTATTTTACAAGAACACTGTGGGGATAAATGGAAGGTGGGGTTTCTCAGAAAATGCAGGTACACCGCCTTCAGCTTCCTGAAGGAAGTATGATGCGATAATAATGTAAGGAACAAATAGTAATTATAAGCTGCTGCAGCAATTAGTTTCTAAAACTTTCCACAATTTGTAACATAACAGGCTGACATATAGCTTGTGCAATAATATTTCTAATAAAATTTGCATAAATATGTTTCACAGAATATTGAATGAGTCAGGGATCTTATCCTGTTTTATTTCCCAGTGGAAATCTTGCCTTTTTGAATTAGAAATTAATGCCATCTGCAGTAACTCCTTAGACATCACTAAAGGATCAAATGGTCCATACTGCCTTTTTCTTTATGCCTTTTTCACCATTTACAGTGAGTCGTGTGCTGCAAAGTGGCAACTTCCCTACTGAAACAACTTGAACCACCTACAAGTGTTTCAAAAAGTGTGAGTTGAATCTGGACTTAAACCGTATTTAGAATAGACCATTGAAATCAACTGGACTAAAATAAGTTGCTGTTGTTGGCATCCATCTGTCTCGAGAGAGAATGGAGTATGATCTGGGGGTGAAGTCAAACCACTGGGTTAGCAGCACCAAAGTTATCTCCCCGGGGAACAAGTCTGGGAAGTGTGTGGCGGTCTTGGGCTGCCGTGATGGCAAGACTAAGCCTCACTAATATGATCCAAAGAAAAGTAGAGCAATATGTTTGAGGCCAGTTTAACTGCAGTAGTTGTCAAAAGGAGGCGTATAAGTGTCGTCCAACTGTCTTAAGGACATCCCAAAGATATCTTGCAAGGCAGCAGAGTTTTAGAACCAGAGTTTTCCTTCTCCTAGATGGGCAGCAGTGTTGGGAGTTATATGCAAAATTCTGTTAAAATAAGCAACAGTCATTACATGTTTCCAGTAAGCGTCCTCAAAAGTCTGCTTTGGTTTGAAAAACAGGAGAAAATACCGGTAAATCTTCATAAAACGGTTGCAAAGAAAGTTGAAAGATTCTTGGAAGAATTTAGGATCAATAGGCACAATAATTCCCCAATACCTGACAAGATTGCACCTTGCAACACAGAGATGGTCACAGGGATGTAGAGTAGAACATTTTCCAGGAATTTATTTTTCCACATAAAATTTTACATTTCATAAGTTCATTAGTAACAACGAATGGATGCAGACTGCAATTAAATATAATGTACGCTTGGTAGTTTCCAAGTTTTTAGTGTTGTTTACTAAATATTTATAAACTAAGCACATAACTCTTCAGGGCATTGGAAAAATTTCTGATACAAATTGGGAAAAAATTTAGTTGCAAATTATCTGGTGCAAATTATTCTAATTTGCATGGGAACATTTTCCATATTTTCCCCCCAACTCAAATATTTCTGGGAAGCCTAGAAACGCCCCCCCCAGCCTTTCCTCTCTGTTTCCTGTTCTACCATCGTTAGCGTAATTGTAATATGCCTTTGCTCAGGGCTGTATTTTGCATGGAAAAACAACAATAAAGGTCAAAAAATCAGAGTGAATATTCTGTATAAAAGATGGGGCCCGATATAGCTTCAGTAAGATGAACCATTTCAAACTTATTTATTAAAAGGCTTCATTTTGCTGCTGGTCGATTCGCTGCTGGTAAATTTGAGACATTTGAATATGTGGTGCTGGAACGTGGCTACCCAGACTAGGAGTTACGTCAAGCTAATGGTTGAAGTCTGCATCAGGTACACTCTCACTTCTCCTTTTGAACTTTTTGTTTCCACTAAGCATAAACTCATTCAAACACCTTGCAATTTAAAACTCTATTAAAAGCAGGAAAATGAGATCACTGCCCTTGTGGGGTTTTTCTCTCTCTCCTTTTACCTAGTCTGTTTCATCAACATGTGTCAGGCCTGTAATAAATTTGCCGTGCTGTCAAAAGCTGTCACGCAGTCTCGCCGCACTGAAAGCCGGTAGGCAAGGGAAAGATTTATCTTGGAGCCTAAGGGAAAACCAATAAACTGGAACCATCACATTCTTAACTTGTATCTAAAATTGAAAGGCTTTACTTACTGGGAGATCCAAGCTTATCTTTATAGCACTCTGTAAATTTAGTTTTGCTTTCCCTTAACTTAATTTTCCTCCATCTTAATTGACTACAGTAGGAATTCAATGCAAATGCTGGCTAAAGACTCTTGTACGTTCACAGTGGGGATTGTTTCAAAGTAATTCACAGGTTTAATTTGGGCCTTGTTTGTGCACTACATGCCTTGAAGCAACTATGCACATCTGCCTAATCAGTAATGTGTTTATCTTCAGAATTGCAGTGGGTTCTGGGTGTGGAGGTGAGGAAAAAAGACCAAGTGGCAGAATATAAGGGAAGAACATGCCATCAGATACAGCAAGTGCCACTTTTGAAAACTTGATTTGTGTGCTGTGGACAGAAACAGGAGCTCTTTAGGATTGCATCCTGCCTATGATTACAATTACGCGGGACGTCACCTATGTATTCGTAGCAAATGAGCAATCTGGGAATAGTTGGCAGTTAATGAGCCTTGAACCTGAACAATGTTTAATCGTACATCTGTGTGCAGAAGCATGTCCTGCTTCTTTCATAAGAATGATGTATTCCGAATGTCACGATTGCTTATGCAAATTGTTATAAGATTGGTACAAGGATTTTAAGTTACATTAAACTGAGTAGAACCTTCCCTTGCTGGGGCAAGAGAAAGACCTGGGATTCCCTGTGGGCTACAAATCCCATCTTCTCATGACCATTGGCCATAATGGCTGGGATTGATGGGAGCTGGAGTTTAGCAACACCTGGACTGCCACAGGTTCTGCATCTCTGATGTAAAATAACTTCGGTATGTAAAGGACATACAGGAGATATGGTGTTTGGGTTGCATCCAATGAAGCCATCCCATTCATGCAAGGATTTCCACTTGCCCAACCAAACTTCTCCTCACACTCCTTTCCCTGTGTGTCCCATAAACTTGCCGAGGAAGAGGAAAAGGAAGGTAATTTCCATTGCACAAGTGGAAGTCCTTGCACAAACAAGATGGCTTCTTTACACTTCAACTGTTTATGCCCTATCATTTATATATATATAAAAATCTATCTGTCAAAGCAAATAGCTACAGCTGAACTCCATGTATGTTTTCTATACAACTTAGAAACCTGATCAGGACTGGCAGGGCTGAGCAGTAGGTAAACAGTGAAGGGACAGGGGGAGCTAGCATGACTGCTCTCCCATTCATCTGATTCTGATTGCTTGAGTATGTTGATGCCTGAACAGTGCTTGAAGCAGAATTGGAAAGGAGGGCAAGATTTAAAGGAACAGCACATCCTACAAGGTAATACATGTTACTGAGGCAACGTAGGACTCAAATCACACAGGACAGAGGCAGTTGTGTGGTGAAAGAAAGAAAAAAGGTAAAGGACCCCTGGACGGTTAAGTCCAGTCAAAGGCGACTATGGGGTTGTGGCGATCATCTTGCTTTCAAGCTGAGGGAGCTGGCGTTTGTCCACAGACAGCTTTCTGGGTCATGACTAAACTGCTTCTGGTGCAATGGAACACTGTGATGGAAAACAGAGTGCACAGAAACACCATTTACCTCCCTGCCGCAGCGGTACCTATTTATCTACTTGCACTAGTGTGCTTTTGAACTGCTAGGTTGGCAGGAGCTAGGACATGCAACGGGAGCTCACCCTGTCGCAGGGATTTGAACCGCCAACCTTCTTAGGGGCAAGCCCCAAAGGCTCAGTGGTTTAGACCACAGCGCCACCCACATCCCACAATTATCCCCAATAATAGTACCAGTTATATCAAAGGTGAAGTAGGTCTTTTTCAGGTTTGAGGACCATGTGGAACTTTTTCAACACAGTCCACGATAAAAAGAAAATCTTTCATTAGAGCCTGCTCTTTCCTTTGCTTATTTGATTCTTTTCATTCCATGATTGGGACTGACACACAACACTTGGAGGCTTGTTGCTGTGAAAGGTGAAAACATGGTTACCAACAAAGCTTTCAGCCATGTATCATCCCAGCTGCCAATACAATGATCAGTGGATGGGTTTGTAATGACAACAGTCTATGTGAGCAAGAGCTGTCAAAAAGCAGATTTGTGATATATTAATATCTGAAACGGGAATAAATAAAAATCCCAAGGGAACTGCTCTGTTCACTTGGATATCTCTGAAATCCTTTCTTCGTTCTTTTAAAGGAAGCTTGCAGGATCTAGATTTAAAAGTGAAGACAGCTAATTGGCAAGAAGAGAAGAAGAAAATGGCAAGGAGGAAGGGAGATCAGAGGAAGGAGGGCAAATGCTGAAAGGGAAAAATAACACAAAATAAAAATGAACAAACTATGTTTGGCATAAAATGAGAGGTGAATGAAATTTGCAATTTGTGTACCCAATTGAAGAATCCAGACTATTTCTATTATATTTTCAAACTTATCACTAGAGGCCTGGAGTGAAGGGGTAGGACTATAGAAAACTGCTTTTTCAGACTTGGGCTTATTCTCTTTGTGGGCTGTAGGAATTTCTTGGCTGTTGAGTAATTCTGATTATGCTGTATTTCTTGTCTTCTTTGTTTCTTTTTAGGGAGCTCCTGTTGTCTATAGCTCTTGGGCAGGTTCTGTCCCTGCTTATCTGCGGTATTAGCCTGACCAGCAAGTATCTGTCAGATGATTTTCATGCCAACACTCCAGTCTTTCAGAGTTTCCTGAACTACATTCTCCTATTTTTGGTCTATACCACAACATTAGCTGTTAGACAAGGTAAGTGGCATTCTGGATGTAGAATAATTATTGCAATAATAATAATAATAATAATAATAGCTATAGCTTTTCTCAGTGCTTTTTTCCCTTTAAAACTGTTTAGGGGTACTCTCATTTTCCTACTCATGTTGAAATACTGCCACTCAACGAGGCCAAACTTAGATTCACAAAATGTTTAGGAGTATGCGTACCCCTGCGCACCCCCAGAAAAAAAGCACTGGCTTTTCTTTCACATAGTGGATAATTTCCCCTCTCTTGGAACATATCAAAGCATTTCCTAGTATTTAAAAAGGAAATAAAACTTGCAGCTCCTCCAGAAAGGTTGATAACTATAAAAGATTGCAAAATCACTATTAAACATTTGGGGTAGGAGTCACCTAAAAACCCTGGTATGGTAGCACTGCTCAAAGACTTTCCTTCTACCCTTATCCCCCCTTGCACCTCCTATCCCTGAAATTGACTCTAGGGAGGTTGGGAGAAGCCCCAGAACAACAGAGAAGGGAAGGAGAGGCAGATCATTTCATCTGCACAGACAGAACTTTTATCAAAGTACAATGTAGAATTTCACCCTTGATATCTTATCAGCATGAGATATTCTAATGAGAACAGTCTTTGAGGGTTTTCTTTTGTTTTTCCCTTCTCCTGTTGGCATATATGTTCATTTAGAAACCTGTTCTGATTTTGAGTGCATATTAATGAAGAGATGGAGACAGCAGACCTAGTAACGGGGGTGGGGGGACGTAACTATAAGAGCAAACTTTTAAAGGGAAGAACCTTTCAGTCCCAATGAAACAAAGATAACATTCATTCATTCATTCATTCATTCATTCATTTTATTGGTATGTCACTTTTCCACAAAATAAATCATGCTGAAAGCAGCTTGCTACAAAGAAACAGGGATACATTTCAGACAAACAGTACAAAAACAATTTCATAATAACATAGCAAAACAAAAATATAGCAACATACCATCATCATAGTAACACAAAAATCACTTTTAAATTCTATAACTATAACAAGATTACTTAAAGAACATGCAGCATCCAACAGCAAAAATATCAAGGGAACTTCCCAGTTTCACTTTAGTCCTAGAAACAGCCCTCCCATGATGTTGCTCACAGTCTGTCTCCTGCAGCAACTTCTTATAAGGCCTTCAAGGGTCTTAGCTGCAAACACTCCTTCCTTGATGTTACTCACACATGAGGGGAAATTCATCAAGTTTGCAGATGGCACCAAACTGGAGGGGGTGGCTAATGCCTCTGAAGACAGAATTGGGATTCAAGAAGACCTTAACAGACCGGAGAATTGGGCTGGAACTAACAAAATGAATTTCAAAAGGGACAAATGTAAGGTTCTACACTTAGGCAGGAAGAACCAGATGCCCCACTATAAGATGGGGGATACCTGGATTGCCACTAGGACATGTGAAAAGGATCTAAGGGTCTTCATAGAGGACAAGCTTAACATGACAGTTAAAGAAGGACGTTGACAAGCTGGAAGGTGTGCAGAGCAGGGCAACCAGAATGATCAAGAGTCTGGAAACCAAGACTTATGAAGAACAGTTGAGGGAGTTGGGTATGGTAAGCCTAGAGAAGAGGAGACCAAGAGGTTATATGATAGCTATATTCAGATATCTTAAGGGGTGTCACATGGAAGATGGAGCAAACTTGTTTTCTCCTGCTTCAGAGCATATGACCTTCAAGTTACAAGATAGGAGATTCTGATTAAACCTCAGGAAAAACCTTGGAAGGTGGTGGACTCTCCTTTTTTGGAGATTTTAAAGAGGTTGGATGGCCATCTGTCCTGTTTGATGTAGTTGAGATTCCTGAATTGCAAGTGGTTGGGCTAGATGACCCCAGGGTCCAGTCCAACTCTACAATTCTATGCCTGGGCATCATTTGATTTCCCCCACTGCACACATGAATGCTGCACTTGTCTTAGGGCTGGAGGATTATCCAAAATAGCATGGGAAAGTGGCATCAATGAAGACTGTAGTGTGTGATGGAAACTGGGAGAGCCACAGGCAGAAGAACCTTCCACACTACTGGAGCCCAGTCAAGTATCCATTCTCAAGATGCTATCATTGAACCATCTCTTATTTCAGTCCTTAGATAAAATATACCTTGGACAGGCACATGCTTGAAAAGACAAATAGATGCTATGGTTTCTGAATTAACCTAGGTATCTCTACTCTTCCCCACCTCTTCCACTTCAAGAGGTTTCCTGTTGAGATTAGGTGTGAGTAGGAAAATGCAGCTGGTTTCATGTCAAAGCCTTATAATTAATTCATGCATTTAAATGAACAAATAAACAACTTCTCTCTCTCAATCAGAAAAGCTTGAGATGAATCGAGGAAGGACCTTCAAATAATATGAATGAAGTACCTATTGAGTTTTGACAAATATTTATTTTGCGATAGGCATAGCTTGCTCTTTTGTGGTCCTCTGGTGCCCACCCTTATCCAAGTCCAAGCCCTCTTGAGCTTCGGCAAAGCTACAGCATCTGGTGGTCTAAGGCTATTCACTGGGCTCTCAAGTGCTGGTTAACTTACTGGCCATGTTTTTGTGTGTAGACTTGAAATGTGGTTGTGGTCATCATCATTTCAGATGCTTCCTTTGTTGACATCTGTGAGTGGCTTGGCGTCCTGCCTGCTGCTTAAATTATTCAACTTTGAGGTCCAGCCTTGTGGAGCAGACAGCACACCCTGTTGAGGAGAATAATGTTCTCCTTCCTACCGGGATGGTTGTAATTAAAGGGAAGCTGTTGACTTCCACTACGGAGGCTTCTAAACAAGGAGTTGTAAGTGTCTGTTAAAACCAAACCTGGCAAAGAATTGTCTCAGAGGCTGCAAAGATGACCTCTTTCAAAGAAGAAGTTGCTCTATCAGCTTTTTCTCTCTCTCCTTCTAGTTGGATTGATAGAATGTAGCAGACACAAGTCCTATAGGTTTGTTTGCTTCTCTTGCAGAATATGGGAAAGCCTATTAATGGAGGCCTTCTCTCACATCCTTATAAGAGCAATTAGAGGTTTCCCAAACCCATCAAAACCGGAACAGGATAATGAATGCCTGCATCATTTCTCCATTTCCCAGCTTAGGTGCCTTGTGGTGAAATATAGAGCAGTTCTCCTGCCGCCCCCATGACTGTTGCAACTAGGCACTAATGCCACACAGTTGACTTGCTTCTAAAACCATGTGGCTTGCTAGGATCATAAAAGCCTAGTGTTCTTCTCTTCCCAACAATTAGAGCAAGGAGGGTTAGAGATAAGGCAGTGGTGTCAGAGCAGGGTGAAGTGTGGAAAGAAGCAGAGCAAAACTGAAGCAGTGTGAAAAACAGAAACTAAGATGTGGAGCGAGGAGATAGCCTGTTATACCACTTAATAGCAGATCTTCAGCTATAGTTAATGGGGCAGGCAATGGAGACTTGGCATTAACTACAGGCATTGCAAAGATAAGTAGAACAGCACAGAACCTATTTCAGATAGTGTGACTGCATCCTACGTGCATGAGTTTGTTTTTCTTAACTGGAATTTTGTGCAGAGTTTGCTACATTCTTTGCAGAGAAAGTGTTTCTAGCGTGGCTCTCTGCTGATTAGATAATACAGTTACATATAGTTCTTCATTTTTTATTTTCTGTGGGCTATTTTTCTTTCATAGTGAAATTCAAACATTTGTCCAACAATTCTTGTGGTTGTATACAATAATTGCAGGAAAGGCTTCTGCTCACACAACGCAAGGCATCTGAGATTAAGAGTCTCATGCTCTACTGACTGAGCTACTTTGCCAATCCTTCCTATCTACTGCAACCCTCTATGCCATATCCCTTGTTGTTCCAGAGGGTCCCCCAGTCCCCAGGAGCACTATTTCAAGGAACATAAGGAGGGGGGGGGACTTGGGGAAATTTGGGGCCCTGCCTAGTGCAAGCAGAAGTACCTTCTGTTAGCACAAAGTGTTCGCTAGATACAACTCTTATTTATTACCTGTCGGTTTTCCAGCCCTCTTGATGCAAATCTGTTTTTAAAGCATCTCCATTTGCTCAAACTCCTCATTAGCTAATGCTGTGGAGGATCCTGCACAGCCATTGAGATGTTCACTCACCACCACAACACAATAAGAGAAACATTGAGTGCCATTAGCAAAATGTTGCCTCAATGCTACCTTGAACTCCCTCTTATGTATGTCTTCAGCTCAACATTTGCCTTTACAAATTATTTATGCTTTAGTTTCAAGCATTTGCAGATGCTTCTGTCTTTGTCTGCAGGCAATTAGCACCACTATGGTTGATTTCCTGTGAGTAAATTAGTTTTAATTTCCACTCTGCTCCTTTTGCATGGCTCTATTACACCAAGATTTTGCAAAAGAAAAAGAAAAAGTTTTGCAATGCACTTTAACTCCGATACATAGCTGAAACATTGGATTTTGAACATACTTTGCAATTGAGACATGCTGCTTGCACCACATAGGTAAAGGTAAAGGTACCCCTGCCCGTACGGGCCAGTCTTGCCAGACTCTAGGGTTGTGCGCTCATCTCACTCTATAGGCCGGGAGCCAGCGCTGTCCGCAGACACTTCCGGGTCACGTGGCCAGCGTGACAAGCTGCATCTGGCGAGCCAGCGCAGCACACGGAACGCCGTTTACCTTCCCGCTGGTAAGCGGTCCCTATTTATCTACTTGCACCCGAAGGTGCTTTCGAACTGCTAGGTTGGCAGGCGCTGGGACCGAACGACGGGAGCGCACCCCGCTGTGGGGATTCGAACCGCCGACCATGCGATCAGCAAGTCCTAGGCGCTGAGGTTTTACCCACAGCGCCACCCACGTCCCTCGCTTGCACCACATAGGTGATACTAATTTGAACAGTCTGGGTTGTTGTTGTTGTTGTTTTAATTAAACACTAGAATTAAGGACTAGTAGTATTGACTGTGCTTAGTGATTGACTCCCATGAAAGGAAGCGAAATGGACAAAAGTCCATTTTAACCCCTTTTATCTGAGGGTAGGCAGCAA